TTTGGTAAAGGAAATTCAGGACGTCGTTTCCAGAAACCCGCCGTCGGCCTTACCTCCGAACCGAGGTGTGCGTCATCAGACCAACCAGATTCTGGGAGCCAAATACTGCGTAACACGCCAATGGCCCTGCCCAAGGAGCAGTGTGACGTCATCGTCGCCTTCTTCCGTGATGCGTGAGAGCAATTATCCCCATTCGACACCCACGTTTTGTGTTCGAAAGCCGAAAGGCTAGTGGCATATCGTTCACGCTCACAATAAGCTCAACGCCACCACCATTCCGGCACAGACACCAATTTCTAGGAAGTATGTTCTCCAGAACGACATGGTTGAATGTACAAAGTACAGCGCATTCGACTTGGTCGGTGCTATAACCAATTGCTCTTGAGAGCGAGTGATATTCCAAGCGGTGGGAATGGCTGGTGATGCCCCAAGAACTGTCAATAATCGCTGTATGACGCAGTTGTTCAGGCCCCACCAGGCGTATACACAGAGATGCTTCTACTACACCTTCGCGCACAATCGTGCGAAGCATGGTAGGAAAGCTGAAGAAAACCACATCGTCCATTTAAGAGCGGTGCTCGAGTATATGCGCACAAATATGCTGTATGCTTATGCAAAAAAGTGCACCTTCAGCGCCGAAGAAATCCCCTTTTTAGGGTACTACATCTGAAAGCGTGGCCTTCGAGCAGATCCCGCTAAGGTCAAGGTCATTGTGGACTGGCCGGTTCCAAAGAACCAAAAGAACTTGCGCAAATGGCTTGGAGCGCCAACTACCTACACAAGTACAGCGAGAACTACACAGAAGTGGCACGGACATTGTCCAATCTCCTTATGAAGGTCGAGGAATGATGTTGAGACACCTATCATCGGGAGGCTTTTGACTGGGTCAGAAACAGCCTTCTTCACGAACCAATACTGGCGTTGTCAGACCCTAATTGTGCTTTCAGTGTCGCCCGTGACGCTTCAGACTTTGCCATCGGCTGTACACTGCTGCAAATAGACGCCAAGGGGCAAGATCGGGTGATCGCGTTCAAGTCTCGTCAGCTCAAGGCTGCAGAGCAAAATTAATCAGCCCACGACAAGGAATTTCCTGAGATGAAGTGTGCGCATGTCAAGCTCAGATTGCACTAGCTCGGCTTCAGGCCGTTCGTGTTCTACATAGATCATGTGTCACTCACTACGCACGGCGACTCAGTCGTCTCACCTCTCACAGAGGGTGACCAGGATCCTTATCAGAATACAACTTCGAGGTGAAGTAGAGGCCAGGTAAGTAGAATGCTTTGGCTGATGCGTTGTCACACAGGCCAGATTATGAGCTTGTTGTGTCACGACAGTGACGAATTTGATCACGCTGTGATGATATGTGCGTAGCGCTGTTACAGGTTCTCGGAAGCAAGAAGTTTGAAAACTCAGAAAAGAAGTGTCGTCGCGACTGCGAGCACGGTTGCACTGATATTCATTGAACAGTGAATTGCTGTAATATACTACCGATTCATCGGATACGCAGCGACTTATGGTTTCCCGCGATGAGGATTTGAAGTACCGTATCCTCTATGAGGCCCACGACACCCCAATCAGTGGTCATCTTGGACGTGAAATGACCACAGATCTGTGAGTTGCCAATACACCTGAACAAATGGGTGGGCACCTATGTGCGCACGTGTGAGACGTGTCGAAGAGTGAAAGTCTCTCCAAATGCGGCAGCGCCGATGGCCAGTTTACCGGTACCCTCCGGGTATTGGCATTTCATGATCGAAGTTTGTGTTTGGCCTGCTGATGGACTCGGCGTGCAACGCGGTTGTCGTGGTCTTCGTCGACCGTTTGAAAAAGATTGCTCATCTTGCGGCGGTGCCGGACACCATCGACAGTGTCGGTACAGCGACGCTGTTTGTGGATCGTGTCGATCCATCGACTCTCGGAGTTCAATTGTCGCTGACAGAGACTAATGCTTCACTGGAATGTTTTGGTCGGCGATCTTCAAGGTAATTAAGACCAAACTGGTTATGTCAACAGCGGAGCATCCGCAGACCGATAGTCAAACTTATCGCGTGAATCGCGTCGTCTCGGACGTCTTTCGCAGTGTATACGCTAAGCTCCGAGGCACTGAATCGCCATGCTGACACTCGTAGAGTTAGCTCTGTGAAAGTTTGGAGTGTCACTTTGGTAAGACTGCCCAAGCTTCTAATTAGAGGGATCACGACGTTCTGCGTTTTTGCGCCATGACGTGAGCTTAAGCTATGACCCTGAGCTGCTGCGGTTGCAGACTCACCCGTGTGAGAGACCACACAGAGCGTAAGGAATTGACCTTGATATCGCAGGGCAGTAATCCGAAAGAGTCGATGACGCGCCTTTATTTTGGCAAACTTAAACTAACGATAGTGCTCCACACGCGCGCCCACCTCTCTGTGGCTCAACTGTGTGTTGTGCAGCGAGAAAGGTTTCCTATACCACTGTAACCATCGCTCAAAGAGCTCATCCTCATCTGCAGCGGTTTTGCAAAATAATGTCCGTATCGAGGGTACAGAACGCCTTCTCTTTAAGCACGTAGTCGAGTGCGGTACGTATCCATCTTAATTTCTTGAGGAACTAAGAAGCGAGCTCGGAGAGCTTTTCGTCCGTCGAGCTCGGCTTGTATATTGGCCGGAAGCCCGACCACGCAGACGCCCGACGATCGAGTGATCGCGTCCTTCTCTTTGGCAGCGGGATCCGCCGAGCGGGGCCATGTTTCTCACGAATGTCAAGGACCGACCGATGATGCACGCGCATGAAATTCGCCCTGCGTTCTGCGCCTCGTCGAGGTGATTGATAATATTAGTACATCCCCTGGAAGTTGAGAGTGCAGAGAACGGAGACGGCGTCCGCAAGGTTCGAGCAGGGCTCACGTCGCGTCGCTGAAGAATCGCCCTCATCTTCTTTCTATCCCGGGAAAGAATTTTTTAAGTCGTAGTCACCCTTTTCCAAATCTTCGACGAGGTAATCCATCGCCCGTAGCGGACGCGGTGCGTGGTAGTCGGTTACCGAGAGTTGAGCTGCATTTCCCTTAGAGCCACGGACGTGCTGTCCGGAGTTGCAGCGCGTGCAGAAGATGAAGAAGGGCTCTGCTCGCGGGCGTTTCCAAAACCAGCGAGTCTGGGCGTCCTCCGTGCCCTCGACACAGGGCTTATTGAGCAGACAAATGAAAGAAGGTTCTGGTGATGTTTTGGTGTCTTAGACACGCGAGCTTCGTTCGGGCGACAGTTGAATGTGATTTCTAGGTGTTCACAATCTTGATGGGGGTGAGTGTAACGTGGTCACACAGTCTGGCGTGTGTTACACAAGATGGTGTGGCTACACTAAAGCAACAAGTCAGCACGTGGCCAGTAGTTATACATTCAATACTATATAGATAGGAAAACCTATACATTTAGATATAGGCGGCTTTGCCGCAGATAAATCAAGAAATACAGTTCACATGCCAAGCCTAAGAGTTAGTTAGCTTTGGGTTAATGTTGAAGTCCCTCTTGGAGTAAGTGGATTGCGATCCGCTACACTCGTACTGGTTATAATTTCTGGTCACCTGTTACCTAATTCAGTTGTGACCTAAGAAATGCACAAGCTTACCTGACTTGTCATGGTATCCGAGAACAGACACTCGAACATTTGATACTTCATCCCGCACAATCGTAGGAATGACTACTTGTGTTACCAAGCGGAACGGTTGTCGTGCACTTTCAGAGGAAGTTTGCATCAAAGAGTCCGCGCTGACAAGTGCACAGATGGTGAGACCGTGCCATTATACCAGAAGCGGAAGCGAGACTGTTTGTTCGTTTTGCTACATCAATAGTACGTAGTTTTTTGAGTAATGCTATATATATATATAGTACACATAAAAGATTTACTATTGCATAATCATGATGTATTTACTTTTTGACGTGCCCACGTGTATCACGACTCCTATTTGAAGTTCCGCCATCCGACATACATGTGTACGTTGTGATTATGTACTTCTACATATTCACAATCAGACTGTTGTACGATTATACTATATAGCATTTGATACGTTTGTACCAAATGTGCAAGGTTTAAATACACAAGATTTCACTACGAACTTGGAGATTTGGCGGTTAATTGTGCGAGATTCTCGGCAAATATGTTACATTTAGCTTTGCTAGGTTCGAGGGACAAAAGTGTGAACGGGTTCGTAATAGTGCAACTGGATAACTAGGAAAGTGTTTCAGCTTTGAAGTGGATCCAAAAGACATTGTCACATCATAAGCTTATCCGCTTAAAACTCACACTATATTTTCTGATATCATATGCTACCAGCATAAGACGAGGTACATATCGTATGTTGGTACTTATTATCCTCAGTAGCGCAAGTCACTGACAAGAGTAGCGGCAGGCTGTAAATATCATTTAATATAATGTAAGGAGGACCTCACGGAAGTTTAAGATTTAGCTTCGACAAGGTTGGCCTCGCAACGTTGCCGCTTATGACTTGGATCTCTTGAAGTTCACAACACCACTAACCTTTAGCGTTTTGGTGATCTGTCCGGGTAAAATTTGTTGCGATTCAAAAGCATTCGAGTCACCCATACGATGCCAGGAGTTCAATCCATATCTGCAATGATCTTGTCCGCCAAATCTACGACCTTGTTTCGCGTCACACAGTGATGCATACGAAGTTTTACTTAAATTCATTGATAAATAAATCATCGAGTTCTTCACAAGTCACAGATCGACAGTCACCATCGAGACGTTGGCAGCCATCGTAATAAACGGATGCATCGCGCGTGTTTTGTGCTATCCACGTTTAATCGGAAAAACTATGATACGTTTGGCTCCCATTGCGTTTTTGAATCAAGAAATACACAGCACGGTAGCGTAGAAGGAAGAATACGATAAAATTAACTTTATGACTTCAATTGACTAGTATCGTAGTTGTTGACGCGCATTTACATAGAATATCTTGATTGAACTCACATGTTGACATCAGTACAATGAATGTGTTTGAAACGTTCTCACATCTGTGGAGTCGTCATGTCTACGAGCATACCACACGTTCCCTGAGTTGATGAGCTGCGAGCAAGACGAATGTATCCTCCTTCACCCCAGAGCGTGCCCCACGAGTTGCGAACCTTGATTGATGAAGAATCAAAGCCAACCGCCACTACAGCATGATCAGGCCTCGTTGTGCCACACGACGACACTATCCCACCCGTGTACTGCTTCCAAACATTATTCCCCGAAGCTACCGCTACAATCACTGGATGTTCAGTTAGGGCATCCAACAACCCATTTTGGCCAGAAACTACAGAGAATCCTTTGAGCCCAGTGTTTTCCGCTTCACAAATTCGACAAGAATCGACGTAGCCCGTGTATGGGTAGCTATGCTGCATACAGAGACCGTTTTTCTGCACGTAGTCAAAAGCATAATTTGGAGAGCCACCATTGCAACCTCGGTTTTGTTTGTCACAGTTCACCAATTGCTGCTCTGAGTATTTTGTCAGCGACTGCCCCCCGTTAGCAATGCACTGGGCCGACTCGATAACAGAAACGGTGGCGAAAGACCAGCATGAACCACATGAGCCTTGGGCTTGAATTGGAGCCACGCATTTTGATTCCGTCCAGTCCAACGATTCAGATCTGTCTATAACGTCTTCATCCTCGGTTATTATCGGAGCTTGTGCGTCAATTCGCGTTGGTGTTTGTGGAACCCACTTCCAAAAATCCGAGAACTTGAAGCTTTTAGAGCTTTCGCTTGTTCCCTTTAGCAGATAAGCAGTGGCTCCATCACTCGTGGGTTGAACGAAACTGATAACGCTATTGATAAGAGACTCTGCGGTCGAGATAAGCGACGTGCTATCAAAGATCCCATGAATCTTCGTGTCCGGGCTGGTAGAACTGCGCAGTTGGCGCGATTTCTGCTCTGTAAAATTACCACGAACATAAGCGTTCAGCACAAAGTTTTGGAACTCTTCGTCAGTTAAAAGCGAAAATGGTGACATGATGGAGAAATTTGCGTCGGGGTTCTCAGCTTGAATGCTTGCAATGCTCTGCTTGGTCATAAAAAGTCGTTGTCGAAAATCTTCCTCCTGGTCAACTGTACTACGGGCTTCAGAAACAGGCATCCAGCCATTCGTTTGAGCGACATCACCAAATTTGCTTCGCCACTCGTCGAGCTCTGCTTGAGTTGTATCGATTTCTTTAAGATATCGAGTATAGTTGATTCCAGCGTGCATCGGACGACCAACTACAAGCGTGGCAGCTGCGATTGCAAAGAATGCTGATGGTACGAGCATAGTTTCCAATTGATTTTGAAGTGCGGAGTTGGCTAATTGATGGTATTTTCAGGTCTGAGCCTCATAGAATGGATCGCATCGTGCAATCGGGTAAGAGATCTCGAGCTAGAGATGATGACCAAAGGTTAAGCGATTTTCCTTCATCTTGAGTTATTCGTCGATGAGCGATATTTATTCAGGACCTCATGTCAGAGTCGAACCGAACATACCAGCGAAAGATCGGATGCCTTGTTTGGTCCGCCACCGTGAAAAGCCACAACATGAAGTGCTTAAAGGACAGTTGGCATTTTTAATGAGACTTTACATAGTAAAACAGCTACGAAGCGTTACTTTGACAAGAGGCAGATGTGCAGTTCTACTTGAGCGATTTCTTTTTTATCTATCGTTAGCAACGTATTTTGTTCAGCCCCACTAATATAAGAAAATGATTGATCTATCGAGTATTTGAAATATAGCATGCACATATCATTTGATCTTAGAAAAAGAGCTCTACTTCATAAATCGTGCATTTGTTAAGCTGCTGCTCGTTCAACGGCTGACATTCAGTACTGAGTAAAGCATTGGAAATTTCAAGTCATGAAAGAAAGACATTCCTTGTTGGCACACTTGTTCGTGCAGGTTTTCTAGATGCGTTAACGATGTTAACACAATTGCGGTGAGTGCCACTCATCACTTGACCAGACTATCTGCCGTTCATTCGAGGCAGTTCCGCTACGTTGTGAACTGAACAATTTCCTTACCATTTTTTGATCGACTTTCTCCCACCGTTCGTGCCGGATCCATAGTAATCCCCTAGCCAGCGAAATGTTGGCACTAGCATTGATTTACCCGGCACTCTACGTGTCGTCATTTCCAACAATAACGACCTCTACCTTCGGCCGATGCATTAGCATCATAATGCCCCATTTGTAGATACCTTCACCCATTATCATCTATCGTGGACCGTTATTTATGTTTCACTTCATCATTTGGCGCTCGTTGTTCAAGTTTCTTGATACCAAGCTTGCCAATTCGACAGCTGTTCATCTCGAGGCTGTAGGCAGATAATAGGTCGATCGTGTCCTCGCATAGGCCTTACAAAGCTAAGCTCCGCCATGAGTGAGGTAGCTTGCTCATGCCTTCTCAGGCGCGACATTTTGTTGACTATATACTTCGCCCAAACGTCCCCTCAGTGTTTTTGCCTTCTTTGGGCGAACTGTGCCGCTGCAATATGAACCGAAACCGATCAGCGATTACACTGTTGCTCGAAGATATTAACAGCTAGCAATTCAATTCCCAAGCGGTGTCATCCATAGGACTTTAACGTCGATTAAAAGACCGGACTGAAGAAAACTGCTCACAACCATTAATAACCTATTGATTTCAAAGCCGACTCCAGCATGGATTATGGAGATTGTGTAAATGTTCTTATCAATCAAGGACAAATTGATGGTATACTGACACGAACACGATTGATTCATTGTTTGCTATATTGCTATCCTATTGGATGAGTTCAAAAAGGGCATCGAAATCCAGCTACGATGCGATACCAAAGTTAATGTTGTTGCCGCGGAAATGAAGTAAATGAGCGATTTTGTTTAAAATCGTTCTTTTGATTGCTGATGCGACAGATCGGCAACAGAAGTGTGCAGATTTGTGTGGACGCTTTTATCATTCAAATTTTAACATTGGTGCGATTATGTCCTCATTTGGGGTGTTCACAGTATTGAAATATATCGAAGTATCTACATTATCAAGTCACCTAAGGAACTTTGTTTGCATTTCATATTTACGGTGAATGCTTGAAGTCGTACTTGCGGTCAGAATCATGACTTTTGACCGTATTTCTGGTGTTGACGCTGCTGATTCGGCTCTTCAGTGTTCAGAAAGCGCTAGTTCCACTCTAAACGAGGGTCATACATGCTCGCAAAGTTACACTAAGTTCATGTTAGCATGTCAAGCACAATAATGCTCATCCGTTGCCTTATTAAGACTGTTGGATCGAATGGGCTAAAGCGAAAGAAACATGGAACGCGTCCGAAAGCAAATTAAGACTTCGTGTTTACAGCACTATCCTTTGCATCAATCAAGTCCTGCTCAACAGCTGGCAATTCCAGCCTAACAGCTGAAATTGCCACTTGCTTTAGTCTAACATATTTTGAAGCTGAGATGATCTTCTGTTACTCCGCAGTCGGCCTTTATTATTGATGTACTCTGCTGGGAACGTCGTTGGGTGGTCATCTGTATGGAAGATTTCGTCGATTGTATCACTAAACTGGAATACAATAAAATGATCACAAAATTTGGTTACTAAGCAAATTTTCTTTGATATTCTGACGACCATGCTACGATCCGCCGTTGGCTATTGGCAATTACCAGTGCATTAATACGAAGATCACATAAAGGTTTGTACATGTGCGTATATATTGATGACTGGTCTTGATAAACAAACCTTCAATCAGTTTTTCCAAGCCCTAATATGCAGCATCATCTCATTCTTGCCGAGCCGGACGTGGATTTCGTAACAAGTGCGAAGATTTTCAGCACGTCAACATAACAAACTGGTTTGGTCATATATCTCTTTGCAAATGACCCATCGATGATGTTCGTTGAGTTTCTTTTCAGCGGTTAAATCACAAACTAACCGTTCCTGGGCTCCGAAACAAACTGAAAAATTCTGAAGGCGATTTGCAGCGATTGCTTTGAAAATATCATCGATTTATGTCTCGCTGTACTGTATCGCAAGAATCTAGTACGTCTCTGCTGAATCTGTTCTGGTGTCTAAGTATTGCATCACAAAATGATGATGCATCGTAATATGTGATCAGATTCGCGACAGTGATGTTGCCAATGAGCGAGCATGGTCCACTCCAGCGCTATTCTCCATGGTTACTAGCTGTTGTTTGTTTATTCGGAGTTTTTAAATGGCGTAGATGTTGCTTGTTGCTTGTGACGAAAGTCAACGGATGCGTTGGCTGTTTCAATGGTTTATAATATATATTGCCCAGGGCAGAAGGACAATCCAGTTATGAGGATCGGTGCTTGTTGATCTAACGTTTGAAGTTTGATAGTGTAATCTCTTTTTACTTTTAAATTTTGAAGTAGTCTCAGAAGCGAATGGTGAATTGAAACAATGCTCACAATTCAGCTTCTTTTTCAAATCTCTATTTGTACGATTGTATAGACACTATAGTCCCGAAGAAAGTCATCGCAGAGTTCACGCGCTTGTTCATCCGAATATACAATCGAAAAGCTTTTCCCAATTTTAAGTATGTACAAAAAGTCGAACGTCACCCACATGGCGCCTTGCGCTAGTCCTGCCAAACTGGCCGGGGCCAGCCAGCTTGTTAATTACGCTCGCGCGAAATGTTGCTTAAATCTGCCAAAGCTCCGACAATTCATCCGACGTTCCCATTAGTCTCGTGAATCGCGTAAGTATGGCGTCCCCGCAAACAGAAAATAAACGGAAAAAGACTCGTACGCGTCGGTAATTTTATTCTGCTAAAACTAAGCGCTCTTAATCTGCACTCTTAAATTTCATTCGATTTTTGCTTATAAAATAGTGTGCGGTTAAAAATGGATTTGCTCAATTTGAATTGTTCGATCGACGTGAGGCATATCTGCAATCGTTCTGCTTTTGTCGGAATCTGCGAGAGTTTCGGATGGACACTACAGTATTACACCGGTGAGCGCGAAGTGAATAGGAAGTCTCATCCAAGCCTGAGACATAGTGAGCACCGTCGAGCTCAGATTGTACATTTCCTGTCTTATCAGAAGATATCAGCCTGATTAATTTATTTTTGATTATTCAATTATTGGTTTCGGTGTTATTTTGTAGGTCTCAGCTCAGATTGTAATCAGATATAAAGAGTAAAATATTTTTTAATTATAGATTGGGTATCAATTATGGGTTTTAGTGTTATTTCGTGGCCTATTTTTAAGAGAATTAGTGAGCACCTCCAGTCTCTTCATAATAAAATGTTTTTGCGGCATTTTGCAGTCGACGCGTAGATTGCAGAGACATGGCTTCAGCTAATACCGATCTCAATTGCTACTGATACACTCGACCGGTTGCTATGGCTGAGACATTTTAATTGTTGTGAAGATTATGCACAGCAGTACTAAAGCTTGTAACACATTTGACTTCTATTTACACGTGGATGGCACAAAACACGCGCGATGCATTTATTTATCTGTTCATCTCTCTGTCTGCTGATGCTACGATGAAGATTTGTCGATTTGTCAATTGTGAAGAACCCGATGCTATATTTATCAGAAATCAAAGAAAAACTTTGTCCTTATTGAAAATTGATGACTCGAATATCCAATCTATCAACACGCTAAAAGTTGGAGATATTTGAGGCTGAATTTTGACATAAGTATCGTACAAAGTGTCAGCTTTGACAAATTTGCTGTTTTCCGAGCGCGACCGCTAAAGAGAGGTGGTGTAGGTGTGCTGATTAAATTTTTCGGTTTGGAAAAGTGCGTATCACCGCTGTATCCGGTGCCTTTTGTCGATTATACCAAGCCGTTATTGTCGGAATGATCGTGACTATTGAAGCAAGTGCACCGGTTTGCCTATTTGCTGTATTGGTATCATATCTACATATGTTGAGCTAAATTATCACCTGTTTTATTTTATTCGCACGTATTGCTTACTTACATTCAAACGTATACACCGAATTGACTGTGTACTTCCATTCAAACGACTGCACACTCCACGAGCCGCTCAATGTGGCACTTGTCGAGATTCTTGATGATTTCAAGCAACACAAACCACGCGTGGTAACTTTTGACCACAACACGCTCATGCAGTTTTTTACAGGCTTAAATATACTCCTGGCGTATACGCTCTGATCTTAAACTGATTGACTGTCGAAAATTCGGTTGGTGTAAAATGCACGATCTTTAATCGATATTTCCTACTGAATTACGATCAGATGATAGTTTATCATGATGGGTTTTCTTCTTTTTTTTATCCTCCCTTTACAACAAACCCATGAGTTTAATGGAAAATCTGTAGCTCAAAATCTCCCATGAGGTCAGATCCTACAACTCAAACGCTATTTGCGTGTGCGCTAGACGTGCTGACTACAGGTGATGTATTCGCCAAAGCTGAGAAGACGGCAACATATGCAGCCAAATGGAAGAATGGCGAAATTAAAGTCCTACGGAATGAGAAAGACATGGAGAATCATGTACCCGACCAGCCCACGCGGCCTGAAAACGTGCGAATTGTCCCAGCTCATAAGGCAAAGCAAGGCTCTGTCAAAGCTTTTGTACACTGGTGCGTGATGGTCATTTGATACCAAAAAGCTGTGCATTTGGAACGCATTAAATTTGTTATAATACTCAAGTGAATACTTTCTAATTCTAATGTTTGACTCAATAGTTTAGCTCAAGCGGAGAGCTGCGCTATTGATGTCATGTGGGATATGGTGGCACGATATATGCCACATAATCTGCCTCGTACATTCTATGATGAATGGGTTCGTATTGCTAATGAGGAGGCCGAGCACTTTACTAGATGGGCACATCGTCTTACGGAGTTAGGAAGTTTCTATGGAGATTATCCTGCTCATAAAGGCTTTTGGGATGCAGCATTCGATACTCGCGATAATATTCTCGCTCGTTTAGCGGTTGTGCATCTTGTACATGAAGCACGTGGCCTTGATGTGTTTCCAAACGCAGTTCGGCGATTTGAAAAAGCAGGTGATGATATAAGCTTGAAAATCATTCACAAGAACCATATCGAAGAGATCACGCATGTGGGTGCTGGAGTGCGTTGGTTTCGATATTTCTGCGAGCGCGATGCTGTCGATCCGAGTATAAAGTTTCAAGAAATTGTGCATCAATATTTCAAGGGCACGTTAAAGCCACCCTTTAACAAGAAAGCACGTGACCAGGCCGGAATGCCGGAGAAGTGGTACCTTCCACTCGGATCGGACCCTGATGACACCACGAGTACTCTTTCTGCAAGCTCTTCGACAGTCAAAGCGGCTACTGCCATGATTTCCACAATGAGTCTGAATTAGGTGGCAAGATGAAACATAAAGAGAACAGACAGACGTTCATCATAAAAATATGAGGTCATTCGAAAAAATATTTATCTTGAAACTTTCTACTTATTTGTCTGATCGTTCGAGCTTGCATAATGCTGTGTCTAACTACAACAAGTGTAATCTCAAATGTAAATACGCGCAATTAGATATGAAGTTGTTCAAATTTGTAATGCACTTTGCCTATTAGTTCAGTATCGCTGCCGTTGAAGCTCAAAAGTTTTTGGGTATAAATCTTGATACCACTGATCCATTGAAAAATTGTCGTTCACACTAAACGTAAAGCCCCCTTGCATTGTTGGTGAGGAGTCAAACAGAAGGCTTACTGCATTTTGAGAGTCGGCAACATTCAACTCATTCCCATGTTCATATTCCCACAGTGTAACATTCTTGTTCAGATACCGCGGTGATTGATAAAAAGACTCGTGTCGTGGTGTGTGACTTCCGAAGCGTAAGTTGGCTTCTTCTCCCGCGCGCCGAAAGCCATCTGAAATAAGCGGAAGTAAACAACATGCTTTCTAGACATATTCAAAGAATTGACCGCAAATAAATTTCTCACCTGTGAAGTTATAAGAATGCTTCATGTGGGCGATAGCTGCTTGCACCTTAGAAGATCTAAGCACTTCAGCTTTCACAGCCTCAAACTCAGCAACTGCAAGATATGAAGGAACATATTCACAGCAGTCAGTTCATAGATAACAACTTTGTTTACGCAGGCACCACGTACAAGTCGGATTGGCAACGAGACTGTGGTTTAGCTCGCTGGATATGACATCATCTAGCACTAACTCCAATTCTCGAATACTGGACTTAGTACATGACTCTTTTGCAAATTCTGAAATTTGTGAACCGTCGGGATCGCGGTTAGCCATACTTTCACGCCAGACTATTCCCTCAAAATTTTTCTGTGGTTCACTAACAGAAATGGAGGTTTCTGGCGCCACCAAATCATGAACACGCTGCAAATTTTCCGGACAAGATTGGGCTCGGATTGAAGGAGTTGGAGAAGATTGAGTTTCAGAATCTAATTAATAACAGAATACATAATTATCAAAATCGACTGGCTCGGATACATGGCAAGCGACGTACGCATAGCAGCACATTCATTCTGCAGCTGTTTAGCTTCAGCAGACTTCTCCATATATTCGGTAAGCTTACACTCTAGAGCGGTTTCCATTCCATGTAGCTTTTTTTCAACGCGCAAAGTTGACTTCGTCAATTGAGCGAGATTTACAAGCGGGCTGATAACAGTTTCAGTTGAATTTGTACGACAAACATCACCGTTTGATGCACTCAACTTTGTTTGCTGCACTTGCCGATTAAAATTCGGAAGACTTTCAATATCGACACCTCCAGAAACACTCGAACACATAGTTTTTTTGGAGCATGGGGAACGGCAAGCACGTCGATTGTGATGACTGTGTGGCTTTGCTTTTTGCTGCCCACTCTTGAGTACCCTAGCGTAGGATGGAGTGTATAATGGCAGATATGCTGCCGATTTTTTTGAAGATTTCAAAAGTTTCGGCGTCTTGCCATATTTGCGGAGCGAAACTTTGATTTGTTCAATGTCAACCTTTAGACTACTCTTTTGGTCGTCTTTACAGAAATCGCTAGCATGTTGTGTCTCCTGAGTTCGGCTGCCTTCAATCAGACCACAAGATGATTTAGCTGCTTCAAATCGGCTGGTGTTGGCGCTAACAGAAAGTTTTTCCTTCTCCTGAATCCTCGGATTCTTACGATCCTCACTACGTTTAAGAGTTTTGCACGTCTTTTTGGCAGATTTTAAGGATTTGACTTTAGCGCTCTTCGGCATTTTTGCGACAACCTTCACGTCAACTTCTATTTGGGAGTTGTAACTTTTTTTGTCATGATCATGCGATACTTTTTGAATTTTCGTTGGGATTTGTCTCGTTTTCTCCACTGTCGTCGTACCAATATCCCAAATTTTTTTCGCTTTCGGGAATTCTGGCATATAAGCGTGTGTAATAGCATGTTTGATTCTGTTATCCGCAAATCCACGCATCCACTCTTCTTCACCCATTTCCTTCCTCAATACAGAAGTCGGTCTCGTAACTTTCTTTTTATACTGCACCGGAAGTGTACCTTCCACAAATTTTGGGAACTCTTCTTTCGCGTCACATGAGGCCAATAAATTTGTCGAAAGTTCTAGGTTCCTGAACTTCGCTTCACCTTTAGACTTACTTTTCTTACTCTTGGGCCCTAACTTTGTCTGCGTGGATTCATCCAAGTTATATGGTAATATTTTACTTTTCTCGACCCAGCACCTAAAGATCATATTTGTGATACGATGAGATAAGATATAATTCACAAAAATGGAAAAGTCCGTAAAGGCTAACCGGCAACGATCCGAAAACTCTTCTCGGTCCAAAAAGTCTACAAGTAATCTCTCCTCAAGCCTCAAGTTTTTCGAGCCTTCTGTTGATCCAGGGGCTCTGATTGTCACCAGTGCTGGCCACCAGGGCCATGTCTCCATCTTGGCCCAGCACTTGACAATCGTCGTGTGAGTGTGTACAGGGGCAATTCGCTCACTTTTAAGCTCTACCTCCTCATCGTACTCACTTCCCCAGCCGTCGTACGTGACTTCAACAGTATCGGGCGTTGGTAGCCGCAAGACTTGCGCTACATTCCAGATACCGTCGTCGTCCACAACGTCTGCAGGAGGAAAATTAGACCTTCGTTGACTACATCTAAGATGGTACGAACTATAGAAATACCTAGCCAATCACCCTTTTGAAGAGTGTAATCCGTACTCATTGTGATAAGAAATTGATGGACGTATCGCGGCTACTGAAGAAAGATGTGACCATGTTTTTGTACTTGGTGTGGACAACACATCTGATTCTGGAAAATTCAGTTTGCATCGTAAGAAATTTTTCGAAAAACCCAGATTTATGTTACGTAGTGTAAATTTGTGTAGTAGGTGCCCAAAAATGACGCCCAATTAAATGTGCTAGCCCCCACGAAAAAAAGTCTTCGTAGAGGCGCTGCAGTGAAGCACTTGTTGGTCGAAGGACAATTCGTGTGCACGGCGTATGGTTTCACCGCTAGGCGTGCGGCGCTCAACGTGTTTGAAGGCGGCGCTTATACAAAAAATCTTAGCACCTCGAACCTCTACGTGCGTCGTACGGACAACTGCGATAAGATCTTGCGGATTACCCGTCGCTCGTACGGACAACTGCGATAAGATCTTGCGGATTACCTGTCGCTCGTTGAAGGTATCGCTAACTCGAGAGATTTGCAGCAGAATAGACTGTAAATCACAACAAGGCGTTTAGCATGAATTTTAAGCTTGGCATTCGCGACTTGACAAGATTGCCAACCTGTCATGCTACTACATGAGTAGGGTTGGCAAGAGCGTACATTACTAGACAACAAAATCCTGCGCTTGTGAAAGACCTACCCAGTTTCTACTACGTGATGAGCATGAGTAAGAAAGCGGTTGAGATTTTTGTTTACTAAGAAGACTAAGAAGAAGCTCGAAGAGACGATTAGCTGTGGCTTAATGGGTATGTCGTGCAGCAGCTGAAGGAGCTCGAGGGCCAAGAACTCATTTTCGCCACTAAGGAAGGTCTGAGAGATGAAAAGTATTTGGCTGACCCAAATATCATGTCGTTGCGAGAGAAAGCAGGGGCTTTTTAAGCCCACAAGACGATGAAAGACCTGATCCGTTGACACATCTTTGCTGACGTCTAGCCTACAATATTCGTCCACCGCATCCACCGGCTTGTTCAATTTGGTCTGAATATTAACGACGGCGATGACGCTGCGGACGAATCGGTTAAGAAACTTCTTTCGCTTGATGAAGAAGAGAGCACGACAAAGGGATTGAGGTGATCAATTACGTCACGCTGTAGTCATTTAATCGCTGCATATAACCAACTTGATTTTTTTTACTCGTTAAGATCAAATCATATACAAACTGCCTATCCGGTTCGTAACACTTCTTCGATTCAATCGTGTGAATGTCAAAGGGTCGAAAGCGTAAACATAAAACGAGTTAGCACCTATCGGGAGCAAAAATATGTGCTAGATTATTGATCATTTCGGAGGCTTCGGTCATCGTAAAACTAGGGGCAGAGGTTATCACGCAGGAAGGTTGAAAGTAGTTTAAAGTTCACTTCGCTTAGTTTTCTTTCAGCGCGAATTGCGAGCCTTTATATTCTATACACATTTATCGCTGTATACCATATTTAACGGGTTTGTAGATTTGTGTCTCAAGGTCGCGACTTCAATTTTCGCGATTCTCGTTTTCTTTTCGTTGATGTTGGAGTAATGAATAGTATTCGTGGGCACACATTCCCATCACTTGTCAGCACAGCAGATAAGCAATTACAGCAGTGGTGAACTGCCTCTTCTGACCCAATAAAGCACCTTTCAATTAGAAAGCACCAACAATATCCAGGTTTTTACAGTTGATGATGTAGAATCGACAAAAAGTGTTTGTAATATGCTATAGGTTGTGCATCTGATCGAACATGTAAAGTGTTATTATAACCATGTGATTGCTCTTGCCATGATGTTCTGATGGCGTCAATGATAAGCTTAGAAGAAGGATTTGATTCGTCGAAACGTTATGTTGGATTGTAGCTCTGTTTCTATATATTGGATACAATTTTTAATAGATAAAACAAGTACTCGGTGACACAGCATAAGAAATGTGAATAGACAGCCTGGTTTTCTGCCCACACTTTACCTCCCATCCCTTGAACAAGTATTATGAATCAGACGTTTGCATATCTGTGGCTTAAAACAGACGGCAGGATAATTTAGGATATCAATGCGATAGTTTTGCTAAGACAATTGATTTGCTATAATCTTTGCTTTCGCTCAGTTAGTGTGAATATCCGAAGTTGTTCACTTTCCAATTTCCTCTCCTGAGCTCACCGCCTTCGCTTTATCTCAACTCCTCCACAATGCAATTCCACCTACTCGTCATGACAACAATTGCAGCTTCGTTTGCAGCGACTGGTAGTGCTCTCCCGCACACCAACGTATTACCCAAAATCGGGACTCTAAGAGGTGCAATTAACAATGACGCTGCCACCTTCAATGGTCGGGCACTGAGAAACACCGAAAATCGCGGCTTGATTGGCGACGATTCCGACAGCAGCATCAGCGATTCTGATTCTGAAGCAAAGGAATACCGCGCTTACAAATCTCATAAGGAACACTTCGGCTACCAAATGCCATAGAAAACTGGCTATGACGATAATCGCAAGTAACAAGACAAGACCTTGTACAGTTAAACAATGTAGACTTTCTAGTGTTTGTAACCTTGAAAATACAATTGTGAGACTTTTTTATGTTTTTAAAAATAAAGTTCTTCTAAATTTGTTTATTGTATATTTCAACAATATTTAGTTTCTAATGTTTGTAATCAAGTATTTTCACATCATGATTCTTCCTGAAGGTGTAATTCTTGGACTCTCCAGCACAAAAGCAGAGTTTATTTTTGATCAAATGTTATGATAAGAAGGTGGCGAAACGGTTTTGGTATTTAAGGTCTATAAAGTGTACGATACGACGATTACAAAGCACGATACGTCAAAAGTCGCAGTTGTGCCCCGATCCCGCAGTATTTGAAAATGATGGGAAAGGTAGAGGAAGAAGCGTGTGCAGATTGCTCTGGTGATTTGCTTAAAATCGAGGATAATGTTGATGTAATTGAGGAAACGTTTGAAGAACTTGAAGCAGAGGAAAAAGAGCGTGCTGCAAACAAGAAAATAGTTGATGCGTTGGCGGACGAAGAGCAGCAACGTCGTTTGAAGGAGGAGAAGGATCAAGAAAACGATGTGGCAATCACTCGCCAAATAAATAGCGGAACATTAATCCGAGCTGCAGAGGAAGAGAGAGAACAATGTTTGCGTGAGCATCAAATTGCCAATATACAAAATGAGATAGTGCGTAGACGTAGTCAAGCCGAATCGACCAAAGACCCCGAGGAAGAACGCAAGCAACTTTTAATCGAAGAAGAAAATGTACAACAGCAACGACCAAGAGAACGGCTTCTGTCGCAAGAGTTAGTAATGCAATTGAAAGAGAAGGAGCGCCTGTGTCATTCGAGTCTGCCTGAGCATCGAGAAGACGGTTTTTCGAATGACTGTCACACCCCTTTAAAATTCAATTTTGAAGTAAATTCGGGTGAATATGACCAGAAAGGAATGTTGGATGGCTTTAGTGAGATTCCGGTGGTGCAAGCGTCTGCCTCTAAGGTCTTAGTGGATGGAAACTCAGAGTGGCGCTGTTTTATTGCGTCTGAGAATGCACAAGTTGAACAGAGTCAACTTCACGGTAAGCTGCAGATAGTTTTGAATGGGTAATCGATCAAATAACGATTTTGTTTGACAATTTGCAGCTCTTCGACTGAGTTTAGTAGAGGAATTGAAAGCCGAACGGCACGCCAAGTATCTTGAATTGGTAGGAGATGTTCGTCTGCTTCGTTTCTTGCGTGGCCACAAGATGAATGTGTCAGTTGCAGCTACAAAATACCGAGAAATGATGATAGCACGTCAAAAACTGAATCTTGATGATATTCGCGATGATATTGTCAAAAACAATCTGGTGATCGAGGACTTCCCCCATTTCCAAAAGATCATTCAACATTTGCCGTTTTTGGATACGTATGATATTTTGTCTACTCCTGACGGTCACACCTTTTACTATGAAATGACTGGCTATGCCGACTTTCAAAAGCTATTGACAAATGTCACTGAAGACGAGTGGCAGTCCTTCTTTCTTTATTCCATGGAGTATCGAGCACTTAAGCTTGACCAGCTTAGTCGTCAACATGAAAGATTGGTGCAGACCATTCTAGTTTGTGATCTCACTGGATTCTCTATTACGCGCTTTAACCCAAAGATGTTTAAACGCTTGCAACCAATCGTATCGATTGCAACGAAGTGCTACCCCGAGTCAGTGCACAAGCTGTTCATTTTACACGCACCTTGGATTTTTGAAAAGATTTGGGACGTTATTCAAAGTATGCTCCAAGAAACCCAATTGCACAAGTTGTACATGAAAGGTAACTCGCATGAAAGACTACTAGAACTAGCTGGTGGTAGGGACAATCTTCCGAAGCTACTGGGGGGACGGTGCACCACTCATACCATTCCTCAAACCGGATATTTAGGTCGCGATGCTTTCCTTATGCTCTGTGAGGATGGAGCAACTCAAGCCGATATAAAGTCGAGTAGCACACTGCAACTTCCATTTCGCGTAAGCGCCAACAATACGCTTTGTTGGGAATTTGTCGTGAAGGACCGTGACATTGTCTTTGCGGTAAAATTTCGAACACAGGGCATAGGCGGTGCCGAGGAATGCGATAAAGTAGCTCCGGAACGAATATCAAGTGGTGCTTTAATAGCGGATTCATACACGGCTTTCGAAGACGGAACAGTGGTGCTATTGTGGGATAACTCATTCTCGTGGACACGTGAAAAGACTATTGCGTATAAGGCGAAGGTTGTAAAGTCGACCCACGACTTTTCGTCTCTTAACAGCAACATTACATAGAGTAGGTATCGCAGTTTGCACAAAAACGAGGCAAATAAATTTTAAGGTTGTAAAGTCGACCGACGACTTTTCGTCTCTTAACAGCAACATTACATAGAGTAGGTATCGCAGTTTGCACAAAAACGAGGCAAATAAATTTTAATTACCTAATTTTCTGCTAAGATATTCGGAGCGATAAGGGAACAGTTACGCCTTACTCAGCGAGCGTGAAAGGCTTCTCACGCAGCATACTACAAATCACAGTGAGGCTAAATTGAAATCGTTCCCGCTGTGTTTTAGACTTGGGTGAGATGTTGAGGCTTTTAATGCGTTCTGAAATGAAGATCTAATGTTGCGTTATGAATTTATAGACATTTTTGATAAAACTAGCACAGATAGAATCTTTAGGAAAGACGAAACAGTATAGAGCATTTCTTTAAAATCGATATTGCTCTTGCTCAGGTGATGATTGGGCTGTCTGGTAGTCCATGCAACGTTGTTGTTCGCGTTCAAACTGTTTGACATCGTGCTCAACTTGTGCTCGTAATTGCATTTGCTGCTCATCGAGACCCATGTTTATTTCACGCTCGTCAAAACGTTCCCTCTCATGTTGTTCTTGCCTTCGAACAGCCTCATGTTCATGCTTTTCTTGCTCACGCTGGTACGCAAATTGATCGACAAGTTGCGCCAGCTGCTGAAATTCGGTGGTAGCACAGTCTACTTGTGTCTGCATGTCGAGTACTTTAGTTTGCAGCTCAAGTAATTCCTTGCGTGAGGTCCTTTTGAAATGATGCCGGTGTAGCATGGAGGGAGTAGTGCCAGGTCCGTCGCGGTGGGCTTGAGTCTTGCGGTGGCTTGTTGATCTGTCGATGTAAACGTTGCTATCATGCCGATCCGTGCTGCTATAAATGGGCTTGTCATGCATACATCTGTCGATTGGCTCGACGAGAGTCGCGACATCTGCGGCATCGAGCGCCAGTACTGGCGCATTAAGCCCCAAAGCCTCCAGTGTTGTAAAACTTTCGTTCAGACGACAGTTTTCAAAGTCGCTGAAGGCGAAATGGTAGAGCGGTGAGCGGTCAAGGCTGGTTGGCAGCGCAAAGGCGGCCGGCTCGTGCGTTAAAACGGTGGTGTTACGGTTCATTCTGTGGTCTAGCAGGTCCTTTCTGTTGTGACGGAGGGCGGCCGTGTTGCGTCTAAGATACAGTGGGACCCATGTCTTAAATAATACTGTAAGAGTCGAGCACAAAACAGAACGTAGCACAAAACTTTCAACTCCAGCATTCTCAATATCCCAGCATAATTTCTTGACCTCAATGAGACTTGTAGATGGCTACTGCCCGTTCTACATGGCCTGTAACGGGAGCTGCGAAAGGAGATTTCTTTTTCGGTAACGGCCGGTCGGATATCTCATTCTTTTTTATGCTTAGAATAACTATATAGAGTATGAACATTTGCTGGTCGGTCGGAACATGTAAGCCAGTGCGAAACAAGGATTGTTTCTGTCGCATCATTTAGCTGCTACAGATGGAGGCTGTTGCGGCTGGCCGGCTTGGTCGGATGGAGACATCACGAATTTAGTATGGAATCTAGTAATATTATTAAAAAGCTTATGCTAGTCAGATTTTTAAAGCATGTCTATTTATACGACAGCAACATTTTTACAGCATGTTTCAACGGTCGGTTTTAAGGGTGCGAGGATACATCGCAGTAAAATGTAATGGAGATGATGACGCAGTACCATAAACATCCGAGACAAGACGCGTCGATAGACACCCGCCAGAGAAAAGAAAAGGAACGGTGCTGCCGGGATGCAGCAGATTAGTGATTGTGGAAAGACGCAAAGAATCCTTGTCTGGTATCTTGTTTGACAGATAAAAGCGGTACGACTATGTGTACTGTCCACCTTTTATATAATATGAACAGATTTCAAGCTTTACCAGTAGAAGGAGCAGTTGATGAGTAGTCGACTTTGCGATTGGTTTAAAATGCGAACCGCTATAATATCAATTTGGTGTGCTCAAATCACAAATTGTCATACGCAACGTCAAAATTGTGAAGCAAATGGTTGGATATTTTAATACAAAAGAATACTGACTGGCTCTCAAGAAATAATACAAAAATGCCGCTGCCAGTGAAAAATTTTTACAAAGTTGTCGCAGGTGGGACTTCTGAGAAAGCAAATGACATTCACCAATTCTTTTGCAAAAATTGGTCAGTCCCAGGACATAAACTTCAAATTTGTTGCCCGTCTGATTCTAAAAACAATATGTATTGTATTATGCTGGATACAATTGCAAAAATGTGACAGTTTAGTATTGTTTTGATGTGAAAACCCGCCTTACCTTCGTGCAAACCACAATATTGTACAATTGTACAAACTTCACACTACACTTTGTGTTATTGTAAGTTTCCAGATGAAATGAAAATATTGGTACTTTTGGAGACGACGGACTCTGTCACGAAGGGGTACACGTGTGCTGCTGACCGGACATTAAACAGATAAAACAGTTCCCTCGTCCGAGAGAGATATAGAATCTGTTTATAGTATAGTAACTCATAATATTTGTACGCTTGAAATAAAAAAAAACTTTCAGTTTTAGCTACCAGAGGCCTCGGTGTTGCCTCAGACAAAGATAACCTAACAACGCTTATAATGCGGGCTCTCGGAGTCAAAGCTTTCCATGTGCAAAGTGGATAACGACCTCATTGCAGCTTCTAAAAACATCGGGGTTATAAATTTGAAAGCGCTCGAATCGTAGAGTTTGCGAATTAACACACAGAAGAGTGGTTCAGAGGCAGTCCCTAGGACGCAAAACCAGCTGCCCACAAGCACAAAGTACGTAATACTGCTCGGGTGAAGATCGAAAGTTACAAGCAAAAGTAAAGTGTGCTTTCCCCCAAAAATTAGAGTGTAAGGTATGTCTTGAGTGGCTTGCATCGGCACCTACTATCGTCTGGCCGAAGAAAAAAGCGCTTAGTACGACTGAAAGTTGCCAATTTGATCCTATCAACTAGCTAAAGGTAGGACACAGTACATTTGAGGCTCGCTCTAAGCTCAAATTGAAATATCTTAAGCCGATAGGCCTCGTAGTATGTTAAGAGCCCAGCAATAGTGAGGCTTCTTTCATTCTATCCTTTGCGTCTCCCATTTCCTGGCCGGGAACTAAAGACCGGATCAGATGGCCTTGCTCGCGACTAAAATTGAGATTCTTCAGCACTCTTTGGACCCTTTACAGCCGCGCACTGATGCTGGTAAGGCTGGCCCACATAATGATTAAGAATGTCCCAGCAACCAATGACACTATGATCGACAAGCGGAAATCGAACGGAAGTAGGCTATGCAAGGTGACATCCGATCTCTTAGCGCCAATGTCGATTATACTAACGAGATCGCATAGAAGGAGTGCCATTATATCTAGCCGGAGAGACACAAGGCGAACGAAAGTCCAGCAATTACGTGGACAGGCAAAGAAGAGGCATCAACAGTGTACAATCACTCCCACCCATCTGAGCATTCGTGTGTGACTACTCACTTCATCTGCTTATCCGCTCTGGACAACCTCGTCTAAGCTAACAAATTCTATAGACAAACGAAATAATACGTTCCTTGTCTTGCTCTACCACGACATTATCATCTCGCTATTTGGACGCCCGCTGTGCTCACACAGATTTTAATATTTTTATCAACCGCAATACTGGCGACAGGATGCAAGCTCAGCCATATCGACAGCACGCTCTATACAAGAACCAGTACGAGTGTAGCGAATCGCAATCCGTTACCTGCAAAAGTACACAAAAGCCATAACAAAGGCAAATATGCTCTTCCGTTCAAAAATTGTAACTGGATTTAGTAGTTTATTTGCGGCAGAGGCACCTATATTTAAAACCTTAGATTTTCCTAATCAAACAGTTAACCTAATTAATTTGCATAACTACTGGCAGTCCCGCCACGTAGTGGCCTATTGTTACGGTGTGGCCACACCATTGTGTGATTACACCAACTTGTGTAATTCACATTCTTGTAAGGTCACACCATCCCGTGTGACCCACCCTTTCATACAAGGGCTCGTGTAACCCCTGTACACTCTGGATGCGTGTAGCCCCGTTACACACTCCCCCCATAAAAATAGTAATTAACCACGATTTAAATTTGGTTGTCGCCTCATACGAGGCTCGCATGTCTGAGACACCGTTACGTCCCTAAGACAATCCTTAAACATTCTCCGCTGCATGATTCCTGTGTCTATGACACGGAAAACACCCATCTTATTCCGAGAGCGTCTGCGGGTAGAGCCCTTGTTCATCTTCTGCACGAAGTGCACCTTCAGGCAGTACGTCCGCAGCTTCAGGGGTAGCACATCTCGAGCCCTTGGCAGCCGGGCGCCACACACCACGCCCACCACGGGCGACGGATTTCCTAGTCGAGGATTCGGAGAAGATCGACTACGAGTCGGATACTTCTTTACCAGCATGGGAAGACGAGGAGGGTTTGGTGCGCAAATAGCGCGACGTGAGCCCTGCTCGAGCCTTGCGGACACCGTGTCCGTTTCCCGACCTCTCGACTACCGGGAAATTGGTACTATTACCAATCGCCTCGACGAGGCACTGGAGCAGCAATTCACAGGGCGGCTTTCCTGCGCTCGTCGCCAACTTCGGTCTAAGACCCTCGTGTGGAATACGGCTTCCACTCGGAAGGTCCCGCTACTGAATCGAAAGACGCGATCACTCGATCGTTAGGCGTCTACGTAGACGCGTCCCCGGCTGCTACACAAGCTGGGCTTGACCAGCGGGAAGCTCTCTGAGGTCGCTTCTTGGTACCTCAAGAAAGTCAATAGATAGGTACCGCGCTCGACTTCGAGCTCAAAGGGGAGGCGCTCCTGTACCCACAATGCAGATTATTCCTGAGGTGCTTGCCCCTGGCGAAACCGCTGCAATGATGGGGAGCTCTCTGAGCGATGAGTGCAGCGGTATCGGAAACTTTCCTCGCTATCTGACTTACAGCGGAAACACAAGGAAGTAAACATGAGCGTAGAACGCCATCTCCCATTTAGGTTTTCCTTTATCAACGCGCAACGCCGACTTCCTGCGTATTTTTGCCCTGCGACACATGGAATCATCCATCATGCTCACGCGAGCTCTGTAGTTTCTCACATGGGTGAGTCGACGACCACAGCAGCTCAAGGCCATAGCTGAAGTTTAGCTCATGGTCCTCCGTCTTCCCGGGCTACTCTTGAGAAGCGCGGAGCTCACGACGACGCAAAGCTTCAACATCATTCTGATCATAAGTGTTCACGACGTCTGGATAGTCTTGCCGAAGTGGCGCTTCAAATTTTGGTATCCCCGCCACTTCACAAGATATTAGCTTTTACTCCCCTGTCGACAACGTCGACCAACAAGGCGACCCACGTGATAGTAAACGCATCCATTCCCATCGAGAAGAAGTCGGCGGTGGACGATGACGACTTGGTCGATCGCCGTCCGGTGACTCGCGATGCACCTCGGGCTTTAAAGGACAAAGTCCGTCGTCATCGGTATTTGGCCGAGCATCGTTCCGAGGTTGCCAACTAGATCCTGGAGCACTTTGTGCACCGACTGCCTCACGTTGAAGACTATCGCGCTCTGTCGGAGCGGCCCTTAGCCGTCGAGCAGACAAATTCGTCACTTCGTGCGCGGTGGAGCGTCTTGCGCCGTTGGGAACGGAAATTGTTGCACCCTGGCTCAGAAGCAGTTGCTGGTTCAGCCTCAGGGTGGTCAAGCGCCTTTTTTCGCCGCCCCGGCGCCAAGGCTGCTGCGTTCACTTGCGCTGAACCTCGGTACGGCTTAAGCAAGCCCACATAGAACACTGAGTGGGTGCGCATTGTTCTCGGAAGGTTTAGCGAACACGCAAGGCCTCGCTTGGCATTGACCTTAAAATTTCTAGCAAACCTTGGATGGAGCTTTGTTTTAAAGACAGCAGACCCTGCAAGTGTATGAAGGTTTTTAGCATCTAGTAAAAACAGGTCTCCAACCTTATGGTTCATTTCTTCTCCTTCTCCCGTTCGCATAGACTTTCTACATGTCTGCGCATAACCAGCCATCGCATCGCGAACGTTTCGTAGAGCACTCAGTCCGGTAGACAGGAAGTCATCGACTTTTTTATGTACAGTGAGGTGGTCGACATCAGCTAGCCGTTCGGCTATTCCTTCCTCACCAAGCCCTGAGCCATGGGAACAAGCCCGATTACCTAGAACCGCGTGTGGCCGTTAGATGAATGCACTGCATTAGATATGATGAATTACGTCATCTTTTTTTAGGGGTCGTGTAAGCCATGTCAAGCACGTGCTGTAGGGTTTTTCATTACACTC